TAAAAACCACACCCTTTCCTTATTCATGGGTGGATATCTCACTTATCATTTATAATACATTGGGTTTAAACGGGCAAACTTGTTGGCTGACTGGCTGGTATAAAGATCATGGCCATTTGCATATAATGAGTGGGTCCCTTATCGGGCATTGGCGTCCTCTGCGCCTCACCACCACCCAAAAAAAATAGTAAAGCAAAAAAATAAAATAAAAAAACAAATTATTATACGATTGTGTCCCACCTCTCTTACGCACACATTAAGTGTCATGAGCGTATGATATCTTAATATATAAATTTTATGAGAAATTGGATCTTTTCTCACCCATGTGTGTAGGATTCAAAAGGATCACCATTAAATTTAGCATGAATCTATAAAAAAGTCAAATCCTACACCTATGTGATAACTTTTTTAGATATATGTACTAACTTTAATGATGATCCCTTGGGGTCCTACACATATGAGTGGGAGAGAGTCCTATAGGATAATTATTCAAATTTTATATACATAATTGCTTATAATAATACACTTCAAGTTTTATAATGCATAAAGATGGTTTGGATCACCAAAACTTCGATTGCGTTATACTTTATAAAAAAGAGTGATAAATAGTTACCTGGAAGCTAGAGAAATGTCATTACAAAACATTAAAAAAAGGAAAAAGTTTATACGAGGATGGTACCTTATAATGTAGAACTACGGATGCCCCTCAAAAATCCATCGAAAAAGGTAGTTTTAATGTTGAAAAACCCTTTGATTGATCATCTCGACATCGAGATGTATAATTATGAAAAATAAAAAGATTTTTTACAATATATTATCTACACCATTCATTTTCAAGATTTTCATATGATTACATATCTACTTGATTTTAACTATTTTTGAAATTTAAAATTTTATAATTAGATATAAAAATAGATTTTGAGATAATTCTACAAACATTTTACATCAAAATTATATACCATAATAAAATTTGAAAGTGCGCCTTACCTCTACACCTACGGATGCATCCGTATGCAAAACTGCACCCTTCAAAAAATAGCTTATTATCATACAAAGCAAAATATTTTATGTTTTGTTGGCCTAATATCCTTTTTTTTTTTTTTGGGACAAATTGTTGGCCTAATATCTGATGGGACAGAAAGCAAAATTTTATATTTTTAATTATAAGGTTTTACAAAGCAAAATTTTATTATTCCCTAAATTACATATTTTTATCAAAAGATGCTTATAAAGGTCTTTATTATATGCATGGATAAAAAGCGAATTGGCTTAAAAGATAGCTTACCCTTTTTTTTTGCGGGGTGAGTCAGCAGGGAGAGGCCCCCAATTGAGTTTACAGATTGTCAAGGGCTAACCAAATAAGCCAGGACTCTAGATTGCCCTTAAATCTAGTTATGTGGGTCTCTCTCAAGAGGTATATTAGTCTAAAGTTGAATATTATATGTTCCTGCCCTTAACAATGACTTGATATATGTAAAATAGATAAATATATTTAAAAACGATTATAAGAGATTAATTATTTAATATATTATATATTTTACTTTAATTCCAAAACCTATCAAATTATGAATTTATCATAATAATGAGTTGGAAAATAAGTATAATTAAATGGGGGAGGTTCGTATAAGTTTGCAACCTTAAACAATCAAATTAAGACACACCTCTAAATTTTATTATAAATATAACTTTGCGGTCAAAATTCTTAGGATGGATTGAAAATCTATTTTCCTCTCTAATTATAAAATCTTAAACTCTGAAAATAGTTCAAATCAAGTAGATCTACAAATAATTGGAAATCTTGAAAATAGATGGTCCACATAACGTGTTTACAAGATTTACTATTTTTAAGACTCTGAAATTTTTTTTTTCTTCTCGACGTCAAGATGATCAATTAGAAAATTTTTTAAATCTCAATTTTATACTTTAAAGCTGCAATTTTACATCAACTTTTTTCTCATTAAATTGATAAATTAAGTATGCTTTGATATATTTGCCTATATTTTTATTTGCTTTGTCTACACATAGCTCTTGGTGCGACACCTAGCTTGTATGAGAGGATTAGAGTTCCAAATTCGTCCTCATACCAACCTAAGTCAACCTACCCAAATGAAATTGTCATTATAAGGATTAGAAAAGAGAAATTTACATGACAATGGCCAGGAATAATTAACTTTGAAGACACGTGAAACTCATTTGTAAGTAGAAGGAAGAGAACAAGAGAAAAAAGACCCTTCCCAAATAATAAAAAAAGACAAAATGATGTTATAAAATGGTTAAACATGGTTGAGGGGGTAATAAAAGAAGGCCAGACAGTTTACAGCAAGGTTAACTATAGCGATTGCGGCTTTTGTTTTTGTTTTGTGTGTGCATATGGGTCCCTGGGAAGATATAGAATAAGAATGTTTACATCAGTGATTTAAAAAATAAATCGGTCACCTCGATCGGCACCTTTAAAATTGGTAAATCGATTGTCAGGATCACACCCTTTCAATATGCGGAGAAATAGTGAATCAACATGCGTGAAAAAATAATGAACAAGCCAAAAACCGGTCTGGATTGGTGAATCGGCAGTCCAGATTGCCATTTTGCTGTGCGAAACCGCTGGTTTCCTTCTAGAACAGGATGACTGATTCAAGGGTCAGATCGGACCATTCCCTACCGACCTGGCATTTTTTAAATCATTGGTTGACATTCTATATAAGGGTTTGTTTACATAAGGTTGCAACGTAAAACAATCACAGTAAGGTGAACATCTAAATTTTTTCACGGTATGTAATTTTTTTGTCAGAAATTCTTAAGATGACTTGAGAATTTATAAAATTTAAAATTCTAAATATGGTTCAAATCACTATATACACATAATTTTTTTGAAAGTAGATGGTCTAGATAATGTTTTGTAACGTATACTATTTTTGAGACGTAAAACTTTTTTTTTTCGATATCCATACACCACGATGTCGAGATGATCAATTATAGAATTTTCCAATATCAAAAGAACATTTTAAGATGGATTTTTGAAATGCACCTTAAACTTTTGTATGAAAAATGACAAATCTATAGTTTTCATTTTTCATATTTGACGAACCGAGGGGGTTGTGGCCTTACATGAAGACACGGTCTTATAGGAATATCACAAATTTTAAAACAAGGTGGATCGGCCACCCACCAATTTCGATAAGGATTGGCAATCCAGGTGAACAAATCCGGCAAAATCAAAAGAGAAGAAGAAAAGATAAATAAGGGAAAAAAATTTGTGTAGATCTATCTTTCATTATTTTTGATGACCCAAGAAATTACAAGTAACCCAGATTTGTGCTAAATGAAAGAAGAGTCTTAAGGTTTTTTTACCTATAAAGGACGATCATCCAATTTGGACCAAGAATCGTGATGGTGCCTCCTAATTTCTAAACGGGATCAGCAGCTTTTAAGTCACTTATATAACCCTAATTTATCTGTGAAGAACTCAAAACATATCCACACCACAACCATACAGAATCCTAATTTACCCAAAGTGCAATAAAAACACATGCAATCACTCTCTTCGAGAGGACAAAACATGGCCCCATGTGTACACAAGTGGTAACGAAGGACCCCCAAACCAACAAAAATGACCCATCACGGTCAAAGCAAGACACAAAAACACTCCATTTAAAGTTCCATGCCAAAAAGCAAGCCATTTTTAAGGACCCCCCAAGTACAATGACTCCACATTTTTTTGACCTAGAAATATGCCAATTAGTCTCTCATATGCAACCAATTACGATGCAATTACAATGAGGAGTCTTGTCTTATTGTGCGTGTCAAACTTCTCTTTCTCTCTCTCTTTGGATCCTTCTTTCGTGGATCCTTCTTTCAATTTTATATATGAAAGCCAAAATATTTCCTACTCCTACGGGAGTATGCTATCTTTACTCCCTCGAGAAAATACATGCTCGAGACATTTTCTTGAGTATCAAATTTTGGTGATGATCGTCTCAAGAAACATCGTACCCATAGGATGGCTGTAGCCGAGATGATGATGTTGAAATGGATGAGTGACAAGACAAAAATAGATATAATTTAAAATAAATACATTAACGAGAGCTTAGGTGTGGCTCTAATAAGTGATAAGATGAAAGAAAGTAGAGTTAGGTGGGCTAAAAATGTACAACATAGACCCAATACAAGACTTTTTAGGAGGTGCGAGTTGGTTCAAATAGAAGGCTAAAAAACGTAAAAGATAAGCCCAAAAAGACATGATTCAAGATAGTAAGAAAAGATATGGAGACTTTTGGTCTCACTGATGGTATGACCTTTGTTAGAGCATGATAACATACCGGAATTCGTGTAGATGATCCCAAATAGTTGGAAAAAAGCTATGTTGATGATAATCTCAACAACCCATAGGATAATCTCAGCCCAATTCGACTGTTGCAGATAGGTAAATGGAGTGACCGATCCATGTCTTACAACATTGGTTGCACACACTCGTAATCATATGAATTGGCCTAGAATTGGGGATCCCCTAGTTCCAAATGTTTCCAAACTAGGGCATCACCCCATGTTGGAGGCCGTTCATTGCAGAAACCCACTGAGTTCATTATAGGGACTTTGGCAATTCTGACTTCTCCCGACTTCCTAGTAGTTTTTTCTTTCCATGTTTTTTTTTCCTAGTTTAACATTTTTTTTGGGCAATTTTTTTTTCCTAAAATCGGAGTCAGCTAACCGAATCAAATTAACAGATGCCACCTGATTCCTGGTTTTTAAACACTGGTTGCTAGTGTAAAAATTCAAACTTCCAATACTACTCAAAAAGCAATTACAAATTTTGAACTTTAAATATGTCCCAAAAACATCAAAAGTAATTATAAATCCAAATGTTAAAATTCCAAACTTCAAATACTCCTCAAAAGTAATTACAAATTTTGAACTTTAAATATGTCCCAAAAACATCAAAAGCACTCCCATTATTTCAAAACCAAGCCACAAAGGTAGGAAGAATGGGATGAAAAGAACCAAGATAAAAGATAACAATGAAAACCATATTATTGGTAATCAATGGAGTAATCCAATTGAAGAGGATTTAGACAGGGGAACTCACACCATAAAATAGTGGTATGTGGTTGATGATGGTACATACCAGTGCCACATCCACCATCCATTCTTGATGAAGGATGGTGGAGATTAACAGAACCGAAAATCGAGTGCCTATCATTGAAACAGACAGTAGATATCCCTGTGGTGTACCATACATCATGCACCATAACACCACTTCCCTTCAGTTGGATTCAAGATAAGATGAGACCTGGTCTTCAAATACCTTGGGATTTCCCTTAGGATTATCCTCAAACCTCCTCATCTTAAAGTAGTCAAGCTCCACACCCTCAGCCTCCCCCTTGAGCACCAAGTCAGTCACAACCCTAGCCACCACAGGTGCCATCTTGAACCCATGGCCAGAGAACCCAGACGCCAAAACCACATCTTTTCCAAAATCGCCCCCGAAAAAATCTATCACGAAGTCTTCGTCTGGGGTCATCGAATACATGCAAGCCTGACCCAAAGCCGGTTTTTCGGCCTCGACTCTGTCCCTGAACAGGGCCCGCACCCATGGGCCCACCACCTTCTCTAGTGAAGCCAAGTCAGGGGTGCACTCCCTAGTGTCAGGGTCACAAGCATAACCACCATGCAATGCTATCTTGACTAGACCAGGAAACTCAGACATGGGAGTACCATATATGTAATCCTTGTCATAGCATGCGAATGTCGGGAAACCATTTTCCGGTAAGAATTCTGGCCAAAATTCTGGTCTCACCCTCCAATACCCTACTGTAGTGTGCAATGGTCGAATTGGCAATTCGATCCCACTGACCCTCTTCGCAAGCCTGGATGCCCAAGCACCAACAGTAACCACACACTTCTTGCTTGTGAACATGCCCTTGGTCGAAATCACCCTCACGCCCCCGCCCCCGCCCCCGCCCCTGCTCTCTCTTTCTATGTCAAGGACCTCTGTGTTGTCTTTCAGTATAGCGCCTCTCCGCATGGCTAGCGATTGGAACATAGAAACTGCCTTCGTTGGCTTAATGAATCCGCCTTTTGTGACCAAACCAACCCAGTTTTCTGGCAAGTCAAAAACTTGCTGGAAAAGTTCTCCAACTTGTTTTGAATCAAGAAGTTGGTGAGCCATCGATTTGGCTCGACAAACCTCAATGACTGCTCCAAGGCTCCTATTTTCTACAGGACCCAAGTCAAGGTGACGGGTTTCAGTAAAGACTCGTAAACCAGATTCCAATTGCGCTTGCTCCCAAAGGTCCAGTGATTCATGGACCATGCCAGGGTAGTACGGTTCGGGGTACGTGAGGCGGAGGGTGCGGGATTCACCGTGAGAAGAACCACGCTGGTGGAGGAAGTCGAATTGCTCAAGGAGGAGGACATTCTGAGAGCATTTAGCAAGGTGGTAGGCGGCCGAGCTCCCCATGATCCCAGCGCCGACGACGATCACATCAAACACTCTGTTCTGATGTTCCATATCTCTCTCAATTATGTACGCTGTTTGATGATTTGGATGCTAGAGTATGAAAACGATATGATCCCAAACCAGTGCTAAAGCAGATACTCCTCCACTCTTTCTTTGTTGTTGGAAAGTAGCATGGTCTCCTCCTCCTTATGTAGACTTTTGAATAGAAAACCATTAGAAGCAGATTACGTGGTTGCCCTTGGTCTTCAAGACATTTACAAGATTACACTTTATGGAATTTGTAAGACCATCAGGATTGTCCAGGCTTTCAGTTAAAAAGCAAAGCTACTAGAATATAATATTTCGGTATCGAAAATTGCTACTATAGCATGAAAATTTATTTCTGCTCCTAATTATAAAATTTGAAAGCTCAAAAAATGACTAACATTTCGCAGATGACGGTCCATAAATAAATGCATTAAAGATTCATTGTACTCAGCCTTGAAATCCCCTTCTTTTTACTCATATCCATAATTGTTGAAATCAAGATGATTAATTTTGCGGTTCTTCGACATTGGAACTGCAAATTGCGGTGAAATCTAATCCACCCTTTTTGACTCGTATCCATAATTGTCGAAGTCAAGATGATTAATTTCGCGGTTCTCCGACTTTAGAACTGCAAATTGCGGTCAAATCTAATCTGCGGCTTTAGAAAACCACGGCCTTACATTAACCTGTTCCAATTTATCATCCCCCAAAACATTTAATAAGAAACTACCAGCTCTTGAATTCGTTCAAAATTATCTGAACACTATCATGGAAAGTTGGAGATATTTTAGGGGTCATTGATTGCTACAGTGGTAATTTCCAGTTAAAAACAAGGGCACTTTTGAGTCGAGATTGGACAACGCCTCGTGAGGCATGCCGCGGCACTATCTACACAGAAACAGACACCTTGCAGAAAGAGCAAGGAAGATTCCTGACCTCTTTTTCTTATAATTTAATACTAGTAATTAGATTAATGGTGATGTTGTCATCATTTGTTAATATATATACCAAATTACAGTGTGTGCATGAAAAAATATTTTAAATTTCATTGAGCTTATAGGATTTTTTTTTTTAAGTTTTTTATAATCCTTGCAAACGTTACGTACCTAAAAAACCAATAATTGGCCCAAATTTAGTGGGATTACTTGCATATAAAATGGACTCGCTTATGCATACTTGATGTTTCTAATCTTATTTTTTAATTGTTTTTTTCCTTTTTACTTGATTGTGACCTTCTAGAGCTAATGTCCTCATTCCTTAGAGGAAATTATTTTGCATGAGTTGAAAGAGAGACTAGAAAAAGACGAGACTATTTAACTTTCGTACAACAGGTCACAATTAACCTTGACCATTAGATGTGAAATTAGATGGTCGTATTTATTCCTTTGACCAAGCTCAAACTTCAAAAGAAATTTTCTAAACCTGTGTGATAGTGCACATGGGATGGGATGGTGGTAAGTTATTGTGATCTGATCTCATTGTATACAATACCAATAGATTATTATATGCTGCCACATGAGCAAATTGTACACTTGTTCCCTTGGGGGCCAACTTTTGTGGATGTAAACTAATACCCAACAACTGATACTAAAAAAGGAAATCTATCTTCTTCTTTTTTATATGTTAATGATAGGAATGGAGACCGAGACGTTAGGTAGCGGCATCCGCTGTGCTAAATACCCATGCCCCACCCCTTGGAAATATATCACTTATAATTTTAACTATTTAAGATTTCGCTCCTTTCCAACTATTTCAACTCATGATCTCATGATCGTGTGTCTTTTGATGAAATTTTTTAACTTAAATAAAAAATGAGTAAAATATATGATAGTTAGTTTCCATTAATCTCTTAGGCGTATTTTGGTAAATTCCCCTAAAGACCCAAAAACTTAATAAAAAAAAGAACAGATGGATAACTTTAGGGAGTCAAAATTTTCTATTTTTCAAATATGGCAATTCCAAGATATTATCCAAATTTTCATTTTAAAAAAAATCCTCCATGTTTTTTACGAGGGGAAGCATGCGTACAATTTGCTCCCGCAGAAGTACATTGACATGTTGAATCCATAGATTTACTTGTTGATATGTACGATTGAGCATTCTCACTAAAAATCGTACTTATCAAACATGTTAAATGGTACATGATTATTACCCTCTTGACTTGATATCAGTAAAATACAGGCCTATGTAAGCTTTAAACATTGTTCAAAGAGTGGTGCTCCTGCTCCAACTTACCGATGCCCAGTCGAGTGCGAGGCTCCGACTCAGTTGAGCCCGGATTCGGACAGCACTTTTAATGAGAAAAGATCTTTCTAAATGTAAAAACGGCGACTCGGGCATTATTCTGGAGTTTTCCTGACTGTAATCACTCGGCTATTGATCCTACAAGTCCTCAGATTGGCAAATTTTTAAACACTGGTTTACAAATCTCTTCCATGTGTGTATAAGAGAGAGATACTGATGAACCAACAGGAGTGAACCTTACAATACCCTCAAAAACAGAGAAGGGGAAATCCTCAAAGATGATGAGATCATTCTCTGTTTCTTTTCTTTTTGAATGGTGAATAGAAACTTTGAATCAATCCTAAAAAAATATACAAGTATACGAAATTTATACAACAAGAAAATTCAAAGACGAATTATTCAAAATCCTCAAAGATGATGAAGTTTTTCTCTTCCTTGAAAATAAACAAATATACGATTTAAGAATACCAACTTGGATTGATCTTAGTTGCCTTTTGCATATGTGGTCATTTACATAGCATTTATATTCTTGCTACAATTTTGATAAATCCCTCATTTTTAGAAAATTTTTACCAAGTTTCTATTGAGATTTTCAATACCATGTTTTATGAAAAACTTCGAGGAAGTCAAAAAAATGAAATAAATTATTGAAGGGGGCAAAAAAAAAAACAAACTACTGATATAAACTTCTGGTTATCCTATATTATTATGGGAGATCTACATTTAAGCACAATTTATCAATCTCAAAAAAAAAAAAAAGGAAAAATTGTTGAATTTTTGGACGAAAATATTTACATACATTTCAAGACCTGGAAAATTGAAGATGCTTCTCACTCTGAACATAACACATTTGAATTCAAGTCAAGTCCAGAGGAACCAGAAATCCAAAATCTGTGCCTACAATTTAATGGGTGCTTGTCGCATTGGCTGTAAAATTAAGCTATTATTTCAGTCGATGCCATAAATTTTAGCAACACCCTTGTGGTGACCAGTCTAGCCCCCATCACTTGGGTTTGGGGTTCCTTATGTTTTTTCTCTCTTTCTTTCTCAATATGGAAGTTTGGATTCTAACCCAAGATCATAGTGCCACAGCTCTGATGCCCTTAACAGGTGACCAAGGGTCAAATCATTGTTTGCGAGGTCTGGGTTTTAGGATCAAATTTTGTTATTGAGCATCAACTTGCAATAACTGGTCATTTGAGACGCCAATCCCCTGAATCTCTAAATTTTGGAGTTTAAAAACTCTATCTAAAATACTATTTAACTCTTTGCACCCCATAACTTCCTTTCAAGTGGGAAGATGATATACAACTTTGAGTTATGCTTCAAAGAATAACTTCTTTCTACATACAGAAATCTATAGGCTTTCATGTACTCCTAGTGAAATACAGAGTAGATCATACCATGTCTAAGAAACAATTTGTTCAGAAAAACATTGAGTTCACAATAATGGGGGTTAAGCATCGCAAGAACAGGGCTTAAACCCCAATATAAACCAAAGATGCGTCCATAAAGACCACAAGGAAAAAAACACTGTAAATTTTATTGTACAATTCCACAACAAAAATATATTCAAGGACAAAGCAACTTCAATCACTTATCGACACGATTCCTTCAATAGAAAGAGTCATAAACTGCTCTAGGATATTTTGGCAGCTTTATTAAGTATCAAATGCGGATTCTCAATGTAAAATGATTATTTATCAGAAAAACATCAGTAAGAGAAATGTATAAGCACACATTTGAAGTTTAGTATGTAAAAAAAATTCTATTTTCTTACTTCGAGAAGCTCATCTTTTTACACTGTGACAATCGAGTGGCAAAAATTTTGTACAGTTGCAAGTCTGGGAATATAACATGGTTGAAATAAAACCTACAAAAACAAATCTTGAGGTGAAGGCACAACCTATAAACATATAACAAAAAAAAACTACAATAACAAAGGAAATTTACCTATAAACATATAACAAAAAAAAACTACAATAACAAAGGAAATTTTTCATGAACCATAGGTTTGGGTACCAGGCATGGGATGTTAATATGTTATTACATTGTAACCAAGCTGGTTCCAAGAGTGGAAGTATATTTGCTTTAATGAATCTCACGAAAAAGAAAACGAACAACAAGAGAAATCACCATCTGCTAAAAATCTAATGCCTAAAAAACATCCTGCCCAAATTCAGAAAGAAATACAACAGATATAAGTGTTGTATAGACTCCGGAGCATGTTACTTAGCATTTCCGGAAACTCACAAAAGAGATATAGATGAGCATCCTATTAGTCAAATTGATATATACACATTATTTTCACACACATGCAAGCACACATAGATGCACAAAATTGAAATACTACAACGGTGTATTTTATATCTCTATTACATAAGAATTATGTTCACATTAAACTCTACATACATCACATTACCTGCCCTAGACATATAATTTAGAATTTTCACATTCTAACTTAGATAACCAAACTAAACATTTCAAAAATGAAGGCTAAAGTAGTCTGTTTGCGTCTTTCAGGACCAACTTCAAGGGTTCGGACCCTTGACCTCCCTCACCCAAACCAATACGTCTACTACGCCAAAGACTTAAGAACATGAAACTATATATTTCACATCAGACATCAGAATTTTAGGTATGTTATATTATACTACACAATTTAATTTTTTATTTATCTTACAATAACATTTGCTCTTAGTTTTGAGTTTATAACTATCCTATCCTAAGAATATCTTATAAAAAAAAAGAAAATAAAAAAGATTCCTAAGAATAAGCAGTATTGATTTAGTATTGACGCATATGGATACCAGTAAGTCGACCATTTCAAAACTCTATCTGTCTTAGCTATAAAGTATCTCATGACAAGCAGATGTCCACAACTTCACACCCATTTTTTAACATTATATATAGCTTGCCATCCCTCTTCTAGCCTATCATTTCTTTCATAAATATATAACTGTTCCAGTAGGAATTACATAAGATCTATACAACAAAAAATCTTTTTTTTTTTTGATAAAGTACAACAAAAAAGATCTAAACAAGATATACCCTATGTCCCTGGCTATACACAGATCCTATTATTAAAGAGCATAAATAAACACCATGAACAGCCATTGCTTGCTACTTGATACTGAGCATTAGGCTATTTTTCTTTGGAATCCAAATATGGTTCTATGTCATGTGGAAAGCCGCAAGAGGCATGCAAAAGTATTTAACCATATAGATAGTAACCATGTCCTATCTTTTGGCACAGGGAAATATAGAATACCTTCACTGAAAGGCCAAATTGATAAAGGGTGTCATGGAAAGTGGTGACCCACCTAGCGCTTTTTGATACATTGTTTCACAGTGAGTCTCGCATCTACGACCTGCAGTCTTGGCTCCCTCAACTGTTCAACATTGGCTTACTCTACTGGTATCCCTTGACAAGGCATCCTTTCACAAATTCTCGGGGAAGCATTTAAACAGCTCATCGATTGGCATGGGAAGAAACCTATTTCGGTCTATCGAATAGGCAAACTACATGATCTCCTCATCTTTCTCTTTCTTTTCTTCTCCCCAACTCTTTCTTCTTACCCATGTCACCCTCTTCTCCACAAAAAAAAAAAAATCTTTTATGAGGTTTGTTTCTTTCTGATTATTGGGGCAACTTGCTTCGCTTCATGCCAGTGGGCCCTCACATATATTAGCCATCTGGTCCCTGTCGTTACCTCTTCATCAACAGCCCCGGTTGCTGAAGACTATGCCTCGATCAGAGTTTATTCTAAGGTATGCACCTCTGTAACTTTTCCCCCACAACCTCAGTCTCTTCTTCCGTCTCTTTCCCCAAATTTTGTCTTTCTAAATCTCTATCTCAATTGATGTGCTCCCACTCACCTTTATTCTTCTTCCTTCCTTTTTCTATCTCTAGCTCCAATCTTCTTTTCACTGTATTCACTGTATTCACTGTAGCCCCTCTACTTTATCCAAGTTGGGTACAATCTCTCCCTGTATTTAACCCACCACAGCCACCTTCATATAATCTTTGTCTCATCCTGTCTATTTTCTTCCTTTACCTATTCACTCTCTGCTCTTAGTAGTGGGAATTGAATATCTAGGGATGGTCATACACTCTCTTTCTCATCCTCTCCATTTGCACTTGCCTCCTATCTACTCTCATCTCAAAGAATTGGGTTTAGTCTATACAGGGAAGAATATCACGCTGTGGTCTGTTGTTGTCCGCTGGATTTTCATCTATATTGGAACCTGCTAATTCAACCTCCTTGGCGCGCTACACTCCATGCTGCTGTTTGATCTCTTCATCACCAGAAATCAGAAATCGCCACCACAAATCATAGTCAATTGCTTCTTTACCATCTTGCAGCGGTTTGAAGCTCTCATAAGATCTTTTTGTCAGATGCTGAGGTCCAAACCTCACTACTGATTATCTCAAAGTCAATTGTTTCTTTACCTGCTTCTAGTGGTTTGAAGCTCTCATCAGATCTTTTGTCGGCTGCCAAGGTCCAAAACTCACTACTGATTATACTACAGAGGCCTAACAATTGCTACCACTACTGGAGGGCCTTTCCTCTAACCTTATGGCATTCAGTTACTCATTTCGAATTTGCATCTTTTATTCTCATGTATTTTCTTTTTCTTTTGCCTTTTTTTCCTCTTCTCTTCGTCTCTCCCCCTAACTCTATCACTTCTTTTATCTTTTCTTTCTGTCTCTCTTGTAGTCTGAGCACCCAACCTGTGGGACTATCTTCTTTAGGATTAGATATATTGCAATTCATTCATTCTCAATGAAGTTAACCTTTTCTCAAAAAAAACAAAAGATCTAACATTCCATGACTGATAAACATTGAGACAGTGGATCAATGAATTTAGATGGTCCAACAACAGATAAAGTTATAGCAAAGTACAGATTTGCTTCCAACTGCTCTCTTACAGTGCCTCTAATCCATACTTGAATTTGATAAATGAGTCATACTTTAGTATGACAAGTGAATTGTAAACAAGTTAACACCTTTATATGCAAATTATATAAGAACAAAAAGAACAAAAATGGATTCTGTGTTTACAAAGCATGTTCCAATAGGATCCAGTGGCCCCAAGAAGGTAATTCTAAAACTCAAAATCTTCATGAAAAATGGAGCAAGTGGACAAGAGTATAAAACCTGGTGATGGCGTCAATCATATGAGAAAAGAGCTTGACTGCTGCCAGCAGGCAACTTTAAGGCATGAGACTATCTAGAATGAATGGAGCCTGCAACTGTCATCGAAAGTGTTGATACATCAGGATAACATGGAAAAATGTAAGGCCTTAACATTTCAGCAAAGAATGCAAATAATATTAAACAAAGGACACCAGTTGCAGTTAATTTATGAAATGACAGAGAGAAATACCTGAAACAAACTAACCTGTAGGCAATTGTTGACTGAACATTAGACAAATGTTGATCCACCATTCATAATTTTGCACCACCTGAGCCCACCAAAAGACTGTACATGAGAAAGAGAAGCAACACCTCCTTAAGGTTGGAACCAGTAAGGAAGTAATTCCCCATAGAAATCAGTAGCAGGTCACGTATTTGGTAATAATTACCTTTGCATGGAAGTTGCAGGTATAGATTCTTTCTCCTTTTCTTTGAACAATCTGCAGTATTGACATTTCATTCAATGCTCCCGCTGATATAAACGCCAAGGCAGACAAATCAGGGGAATGATAGCAATTTTCAGGAGCCTTCCCCTCAGAAATCAAAGAATCCGGTGACCCCAAATATCGCTGGTATCCTTGAGGATTAAGGAAGTCTAAGCATATACTGAGGTTTTATGCATAGCATACCACTATTTTGAGTTCTGAAATTCCATTGCTGCTTATGAAGGATTGCCAGCAGAGAAAACTGGATTATTATGCCCAGGAACAACACCTTGAACCATCATCTCTTTAGATATTAAACTAGCTTCATATTGATGACCAGAATCATGCAACCAATGGACCAAGGTAGTGTAACTAACATCATCAAAAACCAGACCTCTCTGTGACATCTGATCACAGATTTTAAAGGCCCCATCCATATTTCCTTCCTTACAAAACCCATAAATCAATGCATTATAAGTGACGAGGTCAGGGGCAACACCCTTTTCCATCATCTCATCTAAAACCTTGAGAGCTTCTCTCAATAGACCAACCTTGCAGTACCCGTCAATCATAACAGTGTAAGTGATCTTATTAGGGACTAAAGCATATCCCTGCATCTCTTGAAATACAGCATCTGCCTCCTCCATCTTGCCCAATTTACAATATCCACCAATTAGTGCAGTGTAGCATATGATATCTGGTGCAAAACCACTATTTTGAATATCAATCAGATAGTTCCTTGCCTCTTCAACATTGCCAATGTTGCACATACCATCAATGAGGGATGAATGGGTCACAGGTGTTGGTGCTATGCCCCTACCCTTCATTTCATCGCAGAGCTTGAAAGCCCCAGACAAGTTCCCCATTTTACAATACCCACCAATCAAACTATTGTACACAACATCATTAGCCTCTAACCCTGGACCATCCATCTCCTTAAAATGCCGTTTTGCCTCTTCCATTTTCTGAACCTTGCAATATCCATCTATGATTGTCCCATACATAAACACATCAGGCACCAAACCAGCTTCCAAGCATTCCTTCCAAACTACTTCAGCTTCTTGCATCTTACCCAACAAGCAATTTCCATATAGGATCGCATTATAAGTGAAACGATCGGGCTTTATACCCTTCTTGATCATATCATCCCTGAGCTTAAAAGCTTCGTCAATTTTTTTCTCTCTACAACAACCCATAATCAGAGTATTGTAAGTTACATGGTCAAGCACCATGCCCCTTTCAAGCATTTCTTTTAGGAGCCTAACTGCCTCCTTCATATTACCAGGTCTACACAGCCCATTAATGAGTGCATTTGAAGTCACTATGTTAGAACTAAACCCCTTCTTTGACAATTTAGACCACAATTGCAAAGCTCCTCTGCAATCACCTTCCTTACAGAGCTTATCAAGCAGCATTGTACATATGGCCTCATTAGGCCTCAAATCTCGGAACAACATTTCCTTAAAAAGCCGAACAGCCGAACCCAACTTGCATTTTTGACATAAACCATGAACTACCGAATTAAACGCCCCAGCATTTATGATAACTCCTTTTGACAACACTTCCTCAAGGAGAATTTCTGCCTGTTCTATCTCTCCTATCTCACACATCCCCTGAATAAGAGCATTATAAGTTGCTCCATTTGGCAAGATTCCACTTAATACCATCTGATCCCTTATCTTCAGAGCCTCTTTCATATCCCTTAATTTACAATAACCATCAATCAATACATTAAATGCAATTTCATTGACAGGAAATCGATTATCAACCATTTCCTTCAAAACCAAATTTGCCTCCTCGATTTTCCCAGCTTTCACAAGCCCATTCATCAGAACAGTAAAAGTAACAATGGTAGGATCAAGACCCTTATCAATCATCCTCTGTTTAAATTTAAATGCTTTATCTAAGTCCCCAGATTTGCAGAGCCCATCAATCAAAGTATTATACATTATTACATTTGGAAAACAGTTAGACCCATTCTCCATTTTCTCAAATATCTTCAGTGCATCATCAAGTTTCCTTGCCTTACAAAGCCCATTAATCAGAGTACCAAAAGAATAAGAATCAGGGGTGATTCTGGCAGTGGACATAAGCTCGAAAGCCTTGAAACACTTATCAAAATCGTTTGATTTAACAAGCGAATTCAACAAGAAATTACAGGTCTTGAGAGAAGGTACATACCCGAGAGAGAGAAAGATCCGAAAGGCCTCAAAAGCCTGGAGTGGTGCCTTGAACTGAGAGCAATAAACATGTATCAAAAGATCAGGAGCTGAAGAACCAGGAAGATGGGTCTTGACCAAAGCTCTAGAAATTTGCAAATGGGGCTCGGGGCAAGGGATTGGAAAGAGATTGGGGAACTTCCGGTCGATCAATCGGATTAAGATCAACCGAGCTGAGTTTGTAGCATATGAGCGAGAAAGGGTGTGAATGAATACAGAGAGAGAATGGGCAGTAAGGATTTGGTTGGGCTGTTGAGAGGCCCAGTGAATGAACTGGAGAGCAGAGGGTGGGTGTATAGAATGGTGGATAGAAAGAAGGTGGTGGTGAAGTGTATTTGCAGAGATTGTAGAGAGAGAAAGTGGGAATTTGGAGGGGGGAGGTGGGTTCTTGGAGAGGACCAGCGAGAGGAACAAGAGGGGGTCGGGCGGGTCTGGAGAGAGGGGCGCGGGGCGAGAGAAGTGGCGGCAGAGAGAGAATGGTCTGCGTGTTCGATGGGGGAGCTTAATGTGGAGGAAATGGCGCTTAAGAATAACCATGAGAGAGGAATTTGGCGGCGGTGGTGGTGGTGGTGGCGGCGGTGGTGGCCGGGATGCTGGGAAGGATGGGTATCGATGGTGGGGGGAGAGTTAGAGAAGGTTGTTTTCAAAATATTGCAGAGCCACCTCGTTTGAAGAGAGAGAGAGAGTTGCACCGTGCGCTTGTGCGGCGTAGAGAGAGAAATACTATTTATGTGTGGTCGTGTGTACGAAGATGTGGCATGAAGAGAGAGAGAGTATTAGAGTGAATTTTTAGTAAATATATTTTTTTTCTTACCATATGAGAGTTTTAATATATTTCGTTTCTTAACTTATGAGAATTTTTAGTGAAAATATGATAACTTAATTTTAAAATATTACGGATCAAAAGATCAGGAGCTGCAAAAAATATCATGAAATTTAAATAAACATAAATTTCAATAAATATTTTTATTTTCTTAAAATATGAGAATTTTTTTTGTTGCTAAATGGGAAAGTACATAATAAAGCTATTTTCCTGTGAAATAAGGAGGTCACAATTATTCTTCACTGATGGATTTGAAATTAGGTAGTTGGGAGTGTATCACTGATTGTGGAATCTCAAAAAATGGTCACAAAATTTGTAATATACCCCCAATATGTTGAATTTGACATCTAGTACCTAGAGGTGATTTTGACCGGTACGGAAGGTAAATTGTCTTATAAAATAAATTATTTTTATATGAGAAAAAATAACATGCAACTATTTTTCTTTTATAAATATGTTTTATTTATATATAAATTACCAAGAGAAATCAAGGAACTTGGGCCAATTATAAGTTATGTAACATTGTTTATTTTGTTAAATGTAAAATTAAGTAGTTTGAAGCAGTGTTTTAAAAAACGCCGAGCCCGGTTCGACTCGAAAATCGTAAAAAAGGGATCGTATCGGCTAAAAAATCAGAAATCGTCAGGTTGTAGAGAGAACCGAACGATTCTGCACAGTGACTCGCTGCGTCACTGTGCGGAATCGGCGAGTCCGTGAAGAACACGGGTTGCACAGTGTTCTTCACGGCATTATTTGAAATTTGTCATTTTTTTATCATTTTTTTTGTTTTTTTTGGCATGTGATCTAATTTGCAGGCTGTAAACAGCTTTATTCAGCTTTTTCAAGGATTAAATGGTTGAAAAATTTGGTGTTTTTGGATCACGAAACTTGTTTTTTTAGGGTTTCCGCCTTTTCTGAAAGTTTCATGCCAAATAGAGCATAAATCTTTCAAAATTTGTAGGCATTTTGATCGTAAAGCTGTGAATCAAAACCTTTTGTTACTAATTTGTGATAATCGTTGAGAAAAACAAAGTTTTTTGGAGATTGAAGGCTTCGGTTCACAAAATCAGGTAAGAAGTTTGGGTTTTTTTTTTTTTTCCGCCATTTGATTTATTTAACGGCATATTTTGAACATAATGAGTTCAATAATTAGGGTTTTTAATCTTTATTGTGTCTAGTATGATTTAAAATTTTCAATTTTACGTAATCTGGTCAATTACAGCAAAAAATTTGAGATGAACACTGAAATTTTTTGTAATCCATGATCGAAATGTTTGTTTTTTTTCTTGTAATCCATGATCGAATTTTTTGTTTTTGTTTTTTTTTTGTAACCCATGATTGAATTTTTTGTAATCCACGATCGAATTGTTTTTTTCTGTTCTTGTAATCCACGATCGAATTTTTGTTTTTTATGTTTTTTTTTTTGTAATCCATGATCGAATTTTTGTAATCCATGATCGAATTTTTGTAATCCATGATCGAATTTTTTGTAATCCAT